AGCTCCCCAAAGGGCAGGGGCAGCTGCATGCCCAGTGGGTACTGCACGGAGCTGTAGGCTGCAGGGAACCAGAATGCGTTTATGGAGGTGGGGTTGGCATTCACCACCCTAAGTCCCCACCCACTGCTGGCTGGTGGGCCACCAGGCACTCACAGGTCACAGTGCTATGCACAGGGCTGTCACTGTCCACAGGGATGACCGTGAGGTCGCAGGGCTGCCGTACTGGGGGCAGGTGTGTCTGTGTGTGCACCTGCTTCCGGAGGCAGCAGAACCGGACACAGCTAGCGGTGACTCCACACAGCAGCAGCAGGAGGACAGCGAGCAGGATGAGCCTGGCAAGAGGAGCAAGGCCCACCACCAGACTGACCCTCGGCCAGCAGGCAGCTGCACCCTGGGGCCAACTGTGGCCCAGCCACCTAAGATGGGACAACAGGCAAAAAGAAACCCAGAGAATGTCTTTCCATGCCAGAGACCTCCCTGGCCAGGGCCAGACTGGAGAAACCCGCCTGCTCTGGCCGCCTGCTGCTGGGCCTGCCCTACTGTCTCTCCAGGGCTGGCCAGGGGTGGCCTTGGGCTCAATCCCAGGACACACTGTCCCCAGTCAACTGCACAATCCTGTGCCTTCTGGTGACTGTGTCCAGGCTTTGCTCTGAGCCCGCCCAGGGCCCTGAGCCTTGCACCAGCACCAGCAGAGGCGACTAGGAGCCGCGTGGGGTCTCCTGTTTCCAACAGGGTCTCTCCGGGAGGTGAACCATCTGACCAGCGGCTCTGAGCAGCGGCCTACTTACCCCACGTGCCACAGGCTGCTCCAGCGGGCCTGGGAAGGGCACCTGCAGGGACAGCAGCACCTGGAGCAGGTGGGCGCCGGCCCCCCGACGACCTCACCACCCAAACCTCCCCGCGGCGCGGGCCAGGCCCCGCCTCCCTCATCCCCACTCGGACTTACTGGTCCGAAGGGTCGCAGCTGCGGTCCGCGGAGCCCAGCGCCACCTGCGGGGACAGGGATGAGCCCAGGCGGGGCGTGGCAGAACGCAGTCCCACCCCGAGTGCCCGAATCTCACGCGCGGCCCAACCCACCTGCGGCAACGGCAGGAGCGGCAGCAGCAGCAGAATCCCACAGGCAGCAGG